GGGGGGGGAGGGGGGGGGGCTCGACGACATCGAGCGCAGGCTTGGCGGTTGGAGAAACGGGGCGCGTGTTACCGTGTTGGGACGGGGCAGGCCGGGGATACGGCCTTCTCTGTGGCGCTGCTGGGCACGAGGGGTCGAAGGGGAGACGCTTACGACTGGACGGGCGCGGCTTTGAGGGGGGTTCACAATGCCGCGAAAACAGACGCACAAACATGAGCCTGCGCCCGAACATGTGCAGCAGGATTATAGGCGCAAATCTGCTGTGTACCGTTACATTGTTGTCGGCCAGAAGGTCGACAACAGGGGGGTTAATATGCTACGGTGCACCTTCTGCAATAGGTGTTTTAGGGAACCCAATACTACGCAACGAAACACTTCACTCAACAGAATTATTGCAAGAAGGTGTCCGACGATGCATTGTACCAGATTGCACAGAAATGCACACACCGCTTCGAGGCCGATCAGGTAGAGAGGGTGCGGCGGTTCGCACACGAGCGTGGTCTCGATGTCCCGCGGTCTGGTGCGATGGGTGGCGAGGCGGAGCGTCATGCACAGGGCATGGGCGAGGGAGAGGATACCGAGCGTTCTGCGGAGGAAGGTGTTGCGAGATATGGGGAGGGTGCGGGTGCCGCGGAGGAGGACGAGGCGGACGTCGACCTCGAGGTTGGCGTGGCTGAGGGGGAGCGGACACCGAGGGGAGAGGGGGGCGTGCCCAAGTCCGATCCGATGGCTCGTCAGAGGACGGTGGACTGGGAGCGGAAGTGCGGGAAGAAGCCCGTGCCGCCTGAGACGGCATGCACGCCGAGTTCTTCGAAGAGTGCTGTTCCTGATAGAGCATGCACGCCGGGTTCTTCGAAGAGGAAGGAGGGGGGTGCACATCTTTCTGCCACCAATGCAGGGAAGAGGCTGCGGCAGCAGAAAATGACGGACACATATGGTGCCGAGCTGATTGGTCAGTGGAGGAAGGCATTTTTTCGCTGGGTGTATTCCAGTGGGATTGCCTTCAATGCCTTCCGCAACACGCTAGACCGGGACCTCCAGCAGGTTGCTCTTCCGCAACCTGGTGGAACACCTCTTCACGTGCTTCCATCCCACAACGAGATCGCAAGCATGCGAGTTGTGGAGATCCACCGCAAGGAGTTGGAGGAGGTGAGGCATCCATTATGGGTGAGTGGCGCCACCCTCCTCTCTGACGGGAGGAACTCACGAGACGGGCGACCGATCGTGAACTTCCTCGCAGTTGGGTCTCGAGGGGTCGTCATGTACACGACGATCAACCGAGAGGGGGAGCCTGACGATGCGGTGCACGTCCTGCAGAGATGGGTTGCCATCTTTCACGGTTTCAGATTCGGTGGCCCACAGCGGGTCAATGCTATATGCACTGACTCCACCTCTGCATACGTGGGGGCTGCGAGGGCTTTGACCTCGCCATCTATGCCCCCTGAGCTGAGGAGGATCACTTGGCTCCCGTGCTGCGTCCATGTCTGCAACAAGTTGTTGTCAGACATTTGCACGATCTGCACCTCTTTCGTGGACACAATTACGCGTGCCCGAGTTCTGGTGGTGTTTTTCAAAACCCACCAGGCGGCTCTCAACTTCTTTCGGAAGCAAAGCGAGGCGTTGGGGCTCGTGCTTTCATGCGAGACGCGCTTTGCGTCCGTGTACTCCATGTTGGAGAGGCTGCTAGCTCTGCAGGATCGTTTGCAGGGCATGATGACAGCGGAGGACGGTCGGGCTTGGACTAGGATCCCGTGGTCCCCCGACGTCCGCGACATGGCGCGTTGGGTGCGCCGACATATCAGGTGGTCCTCTTGGTGGGAGAGGATGCGTGCCATCAAGCACGTCATGGATCTTGTCATGGACTTGCTGAGGCGGATGGACCGTGGCGAGCAGTTCATGTCCCTCGTTGTAGAGTGGACTTGGGATCTTGCACGCCTTGTGCGGGATGCTTGCATCCCTCTTGGTCAGTCCTTTTCTGACCGTGTCATGAGGCGTGTGCAGGCCCGTATAAAGCACATGATGGAGCCTGCACACTGCGCCACGTTCTTACTAAACCCCCGTCGCCGCGCTGTTCAGTACTTCTCCACGCAGGTCGACCAGTACCACACTTGGCTTGTTCGACAAGCCAAGTGGTATCTGTTGTCTTAGACGGGCTACGACGAGTCGGGTGGTCGTTACCTTGAGGTATGTCGGCAGTTCGAGGACTTTCACATGCAGCAGGGTAGGTATGGGACATGGGGCGAGGCAGAGGGCCGCGCTCGAGCGCGTAGTTGCAGTGGAGACTGCGAGACGTTGGAGTGTGCGTCGTGGTGGTCTCAGTACGGGGGAGACGCGCCCGATTTACAACATTGCGCCCTTCGTTTGATGCACATGTGGTCCTGCGCCTCTCCAGCGGAGAGGAATTGGGCGGTCCACGAGGACATCCATACGAAGAAGTGTAATTAGTTGGCCTTCGAGAAGGTCGTTCATCTTGTTGAGATCACCGCAAATGTGCGGTTGATGGAGTATAGACGTGCAGGTTGTGGATACGTCCTCCCTTGGCAGCGAGACGAGGGCATGCTTGACGCTCAAGCGGGATTGGACGTGGAACCTGTGCGCTCGAGGACGAGGAGTGGGATGGCGGAGGAGGAGATCGAGGAGCAGGCTGCCCTCATGACGCGCAATCCCATTGGGTCTTCTGCGCCGCCCCCTGTTGAGTCTGGTTTTGGTGCTCGTGCGACTATCTTCCGCCCATACCCCAAGGACGATGACTCTAGGGACGAGATGGAGCCGGAAGCAGCAGACGACCCCATGCTTCCCGTCCCGCGTGAGATTGACGAGTTGCACGAGGAGGGCGACGTGGGTGACGAGAGGATGCACACCGCGCGGGGGGCGACAGAGCAGGGAGACATAAATATGATGGGGGGCGAGGAACTCTGGGGATCTTTTGGGGCCACGGAGGAGAGATCACCCACTACCGGGCGGGCGTATACGTGTCCTCGCACGACCTTGCGGGAGGAGACGCCTGCTCCCATGACTGCGAGGAGGAGCCGGGTCCTACCACGACAGCGCGGGAGCGAACGACTATTTCCTCTACCGCGCAGGAGCAGACGCTTGCTCCCACGACCACGCAGGAGCAGACGAGTTCTCCCGTGACGCAATCCGGACCCCCGTCGCTCCAACCGGTCCCGTTCGGCATGACGAGCGCTCACCTGCACCGGTTGGGAGGGAGGACTTGGGATCCTCGTTGCGCATGCGCGGGAATGGATCATTGTTTAGCGTAGCCCGTCAGCTCCTTTTGGACCCGCATGCATCGAGGGACTTGGGGGAGGTGGGTGTTCATAGCGGGCCACCACCGGTGGAGGAGAGGGAGAGACGAGCGGAGGAGCACGGAGCTGCCGGAGCGGGCGGAGTTGAGGGTATTTGGGGTATGGAGGAGAAGGTAGCTGGAGCAGTGGGGGGCGTGGTGGAGGTAGATGATGGACCAGGTGCGCACGTGGAGAGAGAGGAGGTCATGGCGAGGGTGCATGATGGTGAGCAGGTTGAGAGAGTGGAGGGCGTGTTGCCGTCAGAGGTTGAGAGAGAGGACGACGTGGTGACGACGCAGGTTGAGAAAGAGGAGGGCGTGGCAGGGGTAGATGATGGTGATGCCCAKGTTGAGATGGAGGAGGACGTGGTGAGGGCAGATGCTGCTGCGTTGGTTGGGGGAGAGGAGGGTGTGGTAGGGGGGGACKTCGCCCATGGTAGAGGAGAGGGAGGCAACGACCTTGACCCGATCGTCCTGCGTTTCGTCGATGACGAGATGGGTCCCGCACTAGCAGGTTTGACCCCGGGCACAAGGAGGGCACTGGGGCGTCGYCATCAGGACAGAGGGGGGCGTCAGGGATGGGGATAGGGGATTTCATGGAGAGAGGATATGGCKCGTGCCCTAGCGGCCGCTGGGTACTCCACAGAGGAGATCGAGCAGTCATTTGCAGGACGCTCCGGGAGAGAGACAGACACGCTTCAGCAGGGGTGCGAGGAGGTAGGAGAGCAGCCACAGGAGGAGCGTGAGGATGCACCCTCTGCAGATATCCCCGGAGGTAGCAGTTCGTTGGTACGGTTCACGGGCCTGCAGATGACGACGACGACGCATCCAGTTCGATCGTGTGTGCAGGGKTCAGGTCCTGGGGAGGTGGCATCTGTTCAGGCACCACCGCTCATAGTCGTGGATTTAGGATTTGAGCCATCGCTTCATACACCGGTTACTGGGCGGCGAGCTCCTCAGGATACAGCTCGCCCATTGGATTTGGCAGAGCTSGCACGGGCTGCTRTGCGTGACGTGACACGGCAGGAGGACACCGACCGTAGCAGACCACTCATGCCRCCTCCTCCTCCGAGATCACGTCACAGGGATTCCCCCTCGATACCAGTCGGTCGGCCCCCCCGCTCACCATCCATGCCCACCAGACCCTGGGTTCGTTACACGACGGTCGTAGGGAGCCTCCCTCTTGACACGTCGCTATTCRGGAGGACGGATATYGACCTGGAMTCCATGCGTCGGGTCACAGTGCACACTGCACGACAACAACCAGGTTTGCGTGGGGCTGACATCGGGAGGGGTGCATCGAGGGAGGTCATGGCGGCAGTATCTCAGCCGCGATATGTTCGTGGGGGTGGAAAGGTCGGGTCTACCTTGCAGSCGGCTTTGGCAGCAGCAGCACGTGCTGTGCGTGAGCAGACTTYGCGCAGGAGCGAAGTAGCTCGTCCGCGTCCCATGCCTGCCGCGGGAGGTGCCGCATTGGAGGAGTCTTCTGGAGCCGAGGGGTTGGGGATGCCGCGCGGTTCACGTCGTGAGAAGACAGTCGCAAAGGTGACTCAGGTGAGTGCTAGGCTTGTTCGGGTGAGGACGGAGGCTGACCCTGTGACCGTGGTGGAGGACGATCCCGAGACGGAGCTTGCACGTGAGGAGGCCCCACAGGAGGATGACGAGTACAGGGACGACGAGGAACGTGAGGAGGAGGAGAGCGACAGCGGGGATGACGACAACTACCACAACGACGACGAACCCTCCCCTCCACCACGACATGGTTCTCGTAGACGACGTGGCTCTCGTATGACGTTGACGACCCGTCCCGTCCAGGGCGGCGGGAGGCGAGGAGTCGGAGGAGGTGAGGGTCATCCGTTGCGATAGCGCCGGGGCGAGGGAGTGTTTCATCGACACGCAGCACGGGTGGGGAGAGGCAGAGAGGCAGTGGTAAGGTTCAATGGCGAAACTCATGGCGAAGACCGAGGAGAAGTATTGCCAGACGAAGGGAAGGAAACAAGATCCTCGTCTGGGGCAAAGGAAGAAAGTGAAGGCAAGGCAGGATCCGCAGAGGGAGGGAGAGGGCAAAGGTAGGAGGTATGGCAGGCGATGGGAAGAGAGCTATGGCTGGCGCTGATCACAGGGGCAATGCGCACAATATTGGCTCTGTTAGGACCGAGTTCCACTAAGCGGAAGCAGCCAGAGAACTTGGGAGCGAGTTTCTGGTCTCGTGCACATTTGTGTGCCTGCACTAGGTCCCCTAGTTTATACTGGTGTTGTGGGCTTGCATTTCCATTCCGGGCCTCATAACTACGGACATGCCTACCGTGGGCCAGTTCAATCATTTTCTGCCTTTTCCGGGCCTCTCCAAAAAAACAAATATAGGAGTGTGGGGTTTTTCAAGCCCTACACCCCCATATATATATATATATATATATATTTACGTATTTTTAGTGGGGGAAAAAAATATTGAAAAAACAGGCTGTAGACTGGGCCTCATCGGCCACGGCCGCGGACGAGAATCTCGGCCTCAGCGGCCGAAATGCCCGCGGCCTAGGCCGCGGGTGTCACATAGCCTTCACCACCTCCTTCCCAAAAGTCCACAACCAAACCCACCTATGTTGCTATTGCTGCAGGGGATCAGAGAGGTCCCAAGATCCCTGATCCCAACAAGTTCAGGGGGGATGACCCCAGGACTGATGTTGGGGACTGGGCTGCAGTGACCAGAGCCTACTTGAGGGGCTTCATATGCCCAGAACAGACCAAGGTGGCAACGGTTCTGGGGCTGCTGGAGGGGCCTGCCCAGAAATGGGCCACCTCTACCTCCAACGGTCTACAACAAACCATGGAGGATTGGGCTTTGGGATTGGGAGTGGTCGTCTTCTGCAGACCCTGGAAGACCGCTTTGCAGATAAGGAGCGGGCCCGCAAGGCTGCTGACAAGATTGCTCGCCTGGGCCAACAGCGTTACAGCGGTACCCTGCAGTCCTTATTTGCAGAGTTCGAGCAACTCATTTCCACACCAGGACTGGTGATGTCTGCAGATGACTTGCTGACAAACTTCTGCAGGGCAGCCCCTGAGAAGTTTTTTGTTGCTTTATACAGCGCTGGACAGAAGGAATGGAGGTCCTTTGGTCGTGCAGCCCTGGACATGGAAGCAAAACTTCATGTTCAGGCCCCCTCCTCAGACAGGAGGAAAGGTATCTTCCCTCGTGGTAGTAGAAAGGGAAAGGCAGCCTTTGCACATGGAGGGTCTGCGTCAGCTTCTGACTCAGATTCCCAGGCTGATACACCATCAGTTGGGACTGGGCCAGCTGTTGAAACGGATGTTGCAGCGGCCCTGAGTCAGGCCATTTTGGGGGTTMTGCAGCAGCAGAAGAGGTTTTCCCCCACCACAGCCTCAGCCAGTGCAAAGGGGAAGGAAAAGGGACGTCGGCCTTCCTCTTCCCAGTGCCCTAACCTGCCTAAAGACGTCAGGATGCCAGCTGCCCCACTCAATCCCTCCACTCTCCCCKGGCATGACCTTAAGATCYAGGRAGGAGTATGGAGAAGAAGAAAGGAACGAGGGGTCTGCCTGAGGTGTGAGGGTCAGCACTTCCTGAAAGATTGCCCTTACATGCCAGGCCCAGGACAGTCAAAAAACTTAAACAGACCCTGGGGACTGCAGTTCCCCCCGGGCCCCAGCGTTGCACCTTCATCTGCTCAGGTGGATGAATCTGCAGCTGAGTTGAGACTGCAGATGATTGTTTGGGGACTGCGCGGGCAGCATCCTTTTGTTATGAGGATCCTGACCCGGATCAGGATCCAGGGCARGATGAGCTTCMGTCACTTGCAGCCTTCTTCCTTCACCTGAAGGAACAGAAGAAGTGCAAGTTTGATCTCATCCTACTCCGGCCCTTGATCAACCACAACAGGATCAAAGGGTTGTTGGATTGTGGAGCCACTAGGAACTTTATATTCCCYAGTGCTGTTAAGAAACTGCACTTGGGGATGAAAGTTCAGTAGCTGCAGCAACCTTTGCTGGTCAGGATAGGTGATTCCACAGTACTTACCATCAGGGAGAAGGTCAGGGGTATCCCTGTGACCTTCGACAGTGCTGGAGAAGTCAGACACAGTCTGAACTTCTACATATTCCCTGATCTACCGTTTGACCTGATGTTCTCTATGCAGTGGTTGAGGGCAGTCAACCCTAGGATCGACTGGCAGATTCCTAGAGTTGAACTACCAAACAGCCAGGGGGTGTATCAGCCATGCATGATAGCCGTTGATCATCACCCTAAGACCTCCTGCTACTGCTTACGAGCGAGGGAGTTTCATGCTCTCTCACGCGCGTATCACCATGAACGTCTGTTTATTGCTCTGGTCAAGCAAACAGATGCTCCTCCAGTTTCCTGTCTTCCTGAGGTACAACAGGTTGTTGATCAGTATGTTGATCTGATGCAGGAGCCCTTTGGGTTACCCAACTGGCCAACCAAGCATCACATCGAGCTACTACCTGGAGCAGTCCCTCCCAAGGGACGAGTCTACAGGATGTTCCCTGCTGAGCTCGAGGAGCTCAGAAAGCAGCTTGAGACCCTTACCAGCAAGGGCTGGATCAGGCCCAGCATCTCTGAATTCGGTGCACTCGTCCCTCTTTGTACCCAAAGGGAATGGTGAGTTCAGGATGTGCATTGACTACAGGGGTCTCAACAAGATCACTAGGAAGAGTACAAAGCCACTTCCTAGGATCGATGACCTTCTGGATATGGTGCAGGGCTGCACAGTAKTCAGCAAAGTCGACCTCAAATCTGGCTATCACCAGATTGAGATGGCAGAGGAGGATGTCTACAAGACAACCTTCAAGACCAGGTATGGTACTTACGAGTTCCTGATCATGCCATTTGGACTTTGCAACGCCCCAGGTACCTTCCAGACAGAGATGCACCGCATCTTCAGGCCTTACCTGGACAAGTTTATGGTTGTCTAC